TCTTATGTTCCACTAGTATAGCATATTGTTAGCTATTCTATTTGGATACATTATGGACAATTTATGATCCAAGGGCTAGATTCAGGAAATCCTTTTTACCAAGTACACACTGCCCTTCCTAAATACATAATACAGTATTATGAATATTTTGTCACAGTTCCTCTCCCAAGAAAATAAAACTGTTTTCAAAAGTTGCATGTCGATTTATCATTATCATTAACATTATATCTTTCTATTTTTGTCATTTTAGGTAATTTTTTTGCCATGTGGAATTCATAAGTAATCTGTCATTAGAAATTCTAAGTAGCCTCAGCTGCACTGTAAATAAAATCTGATAATCTATAATCAATCTGCTGGGTGGGAAACATGACAATGGTCTAAGAAAGAAACTCAGGCTAGGTCCACATAGCATGCTATGCAAAATGTGGTTTGCTGCTTGACAGCTTAAAGAATTATGTGATCCAGCCAACTGTGATCTGTTCAACTATGGCTTAGCAAATCATAGTTAGCCTGTTGTGTGAACACAGCTTTAAGTGGGGGAGCTGACAGGTACGACAGGCAATATGATAGAACTAGGATGTTTATTTTGTTCAGAAGAGTTATTTTTTAACTCTATTAAACTTTTTTTAGGGATACATGCAATTCTATGTACTTCTTACCTCCAAAATGGTTGGAAATAAAAATTTGACCCTGCAATGGGACAGTGAAATGCATCGAGGGACACACATATTTATATACAAACTTACATGGGGCCCAGAGGCTCATGGTTCCTCATCTTGGTTTTTAAGGTATATACGATGCTTTGCTGGTTTTATTACATGATAACCAACATGGCTATCCCACTGAAAGTTGATAATATAATATACGCCAACTTAAAAGTTATCATAAACATTTCATTAATGTGATACCTTATATTCCTCAAACAAGAGAAAGCATGCAGAGGGTGGCTTTTGGAATTTTTCCCAACCTGCTTATCAAGAGTGGTCGTTGGAGGTTTTTGTATTTCTTCTCTGTAACAATGTGTTGTGTCTGTGTATTTCTACTCTTCCCATGGGGAGTCTATATGTATTTGTGTGTATGTGTGTACTGGGAGGCACGGGGCAGGCTGCATACACTTTGCTCTATATCATGTGATCAAGAAGGAGGAGGGGAAGTTTAGAAGGGAAGAGTCAGCAACATTCTAAGCTGCAGCCCAACCGCCTCTCCCATTGGGTGTCTGGGATCTGACTCATCTTTGAACTCAATCTTTCTGTTCTCCCCACCCACAGATTGGTCCTGTTCTGTTCAGTTTTCAGAACCTGCTGATGGGCTATCAACAGAGTGCTGGCCCCTTTATATAATCTTCCAACATTCTGTTGGGTTGGAAACAATAATAATGATAAATTAAGGAAAGCAGGCAGAGCATGGCTTGTGGAATTCTTTCCAATACCTTCATAATAGCTCCACTCTGGATCATGTAACCAGAAAAAAGAAGGGGGCTTAGAATGGAACAGTCACCAACTTTCCAAGCCACTGCCCTAAATGCCTTTCCCAAAGGGATGCACTGGGGATTTTTCCCCTGCAGCCTCCAAGCAGATCTGGCCCATGTTGTAAACAGATTTTTCTTTCCCCAATTTTTCTCCCAACACCAAATTTGATCCTTTTCTATTCAGTTTTTGGAGAGTTATCCTGCTAACAGAGAGACATGGTACCAAGCTTCTGTACATGATTTGTTCCCACATTCTGTATTCTGTTTAGTTGGAAAGAAAAAAAGCAAAGTCTTCTTTGAGTTGAGATTGACTTCAGTGACACGTCTAGGTAGTGTTCTTGGCAATCTGGAAGTGGTCTGCTATTGCCTTCTAGGGTTGTTGTGGTTTTTTTACTTCCCAGTCTGGCTCACAGAATGGGTATTTCCTGATGGCTTCCCAGCCAGGTATTGCCCCTGCTTACATTTCTGAGATCAGCGATGGTGGACTAGTTGCTGCGACCCAGCTGGACTCTATATGCTTACATTTATATTATCGATTGAACAATCTTAAAAGTTGGTTTTGGCCAGTTCAGTATAAGCAATGACTTGAAGCTAACAAACCTTGAAGAGAGGATTGCTATCGCGGTTCTGTGGCTCTGCAAATTATCTTGCTTAGAAACATTTTGATCTTCTTGCTGGAGTTCATTATCCATGTTTGGTCTAAGAATGAGGGATAAAGTCCCTGAAGTTATCTGGGAGAGGCGCTGACACCGATCCTCTTGTCTCAGTGCTTTTACTCCCAGCTTGTAATTATGGACTGGAGCACCTCTCAACACAATTTACTGACACTAATGAACACTTGCAAGGATTTTAAATCATATTATGAGCATCCACATTTCATAAAGGCAGAGCACAGCATTTGTGAGGCTGGCCTAAGGCTACATGGGAATCTATGTTGGCCCAGGAACAGAGGAGTTTGAATTACAGTTTCAGTTGCTCAGTGATAATGATGACAGCAACAAAAACACTTTGGCTGACTTTTTTTAGAGAGGTTTAAATTTTTAAATTTTGGTTATTTTCAGGTTCTAATAACAAAGCCTATCTAAATGGCTTTATAACAGAGGATGGTAAATTCATAATGGTGCAAATTTGAAATAATTTGCCCACTCTTATCCAGAATCCATGGACATGTATTTTCACTTCTAAAATATTTAAAATTAATTTTTCCAATTGTTTTTCCTCTGTCAATATTTACTCTGGGAACAGGAAACTGTAGCAAATTGCTCAGATCTGGCAGCAACGCATCAATCTTTCTTTGATTTTGGGATAGACCAACTCCGGGCAGTGACAAAATCAAATCACTCCACCCATTCTACATACATTCTAAATGTTCCAGACTTAGCACAATATATCATTATTTCCTACAATGGGGAAAAAAGCAAGGAAAACTTCTTTCTTCTCTTCATGAGCATTCTTCCTATTATCCACCCAACTTTCTCTTAATTTTTTATCATAGACAATCGGGTTAATTATTGATCTGTTCTTTTTCTATTTCTACAAATGATCTCTTCTTTCCATATCTTCTCTCTTAACTATAAACAAATCCTTACAGCCTGATAATTTCAGTCCTGATCAGCAAAAGTCCATTAAGGGTTACCAGAGATAACAACATATCTATTTTATCCTTGATCAAATAAACCAACTTTATATTCCTTCCTTTTAGTTTTAACAATCTTAATCTTTAGTCCCATATAATGTCCTAGAATTTGATTTCTTTTCTTTTTTTTCTTTGTCCCTTCTCACAAATTTTTTCAAAGCTTTAATAAGCCTCTTTTGTAAATCCAATATAGGGAAATTATCCAGGTCACTCTCTTGATTTGTGATTTTTATATCTCTTTTAATTATTAAGACATCAGCCAGTTTTGTTTGTATTTCCAGTGTAGCATCTTTTTCCATGTTATTCTTGTAGTTAAAATCCACTTTCAGATAAGTCTCAATCTTGTCAGGTAAAACTTGTTCCTCTTCCATAACAACTTTTAAACAAAGTCTGTTCATCTATAGAGGCAGATACTCTTAAAATTAACTTCTGGGTCCATTGTTCAAAAATGGCTGGCTGGGGAATTCTGGGAGTTGAAGTCCACACATCTTCAAACTGCCAAGGTTGAGAAACACTGATCCACAACTTCGAGAAAAATAGCATTTATCGACTTAAACATCCCCAAGAGAATTACATCTAAAATGGCTGGCTGGGGAATTCTGGGAGTTGAAGTCCACACATCTTCAAACTGCCAAGGTTGAGAAACACTGATCCACAACTTCGAGAAAAATAGCATTTATCGACTTAAACATCCCCAAGAGAATTACATCTATCGCATCGGATAAAACCTACCTCCCCTTCTTGGCCCACATCACATATGTACATGCTCGTATTATGCTCATCCACTTCTCGGTTCGGGGGCCGAGTTGGATCTACCGCCCAGTGAGGATCCCCGCGGGAGACGTTTTATCGACTCGCCCGCTTGGCTACCGATTGTGGCGAAGAATATTTTATTTTAAACGGAGACATCAAAGGGAAAAAAGAAGCACCCTGCGAGTAAAGAAAAGTAGCACCGCCGCAAGAAAAGCTCCGAATTTAGCCCTCACCTTCCTGGACGAACTTTTTTGCTGGAGAAAAGTTGTTTCGGTTCCTTTTAAAGCCGAGGACCATTGCAACGCGATCCCTTCTCCCTCGGCCTAAAAGGGAAGTTTTGACAGACGCGCCCAAGCGCGCTCATCTCTCCAGCCAGGCGTACGGAGCGCCCACGCGAGGGGAAAGGACGCGCCGTCGGAGGGAAGCGGGAGGAGATTCAGGTGCGGGGGGAAGGTGTGCCTACGCGCCCCCCTCGCCGGCCGTTCAAATATCGCGCGACTCGCGATTCTCCTCGCTTTCCTTTCGGCAGGGGGCGAGAAAAAGCCACATCCTGCCGGCGGAGGGAGCGAGCGGCGAGCGGGGGACGCGGCTAGGCTCGTCCCGAGCCCGGCCAGGTGCGGCGCCCGCCCCCCGACTGGCGCAGGTGAGGAGGGACTCGCAGTTCGCCTCCTGCCGAGCCCCGAGCGCGGGTTGCCCACCCTCTTCGGGCGGCGCCGGCCCTTCACGCCCGGGGGGAGAAAAAGGGAGGCGGAGCCCTGGCTGGCTGGCTGGGCTCTGCCTTTTCCTCCCGCGACGGGAGTCCTGCGGAGGAGCCCTAAAATCTCGGGCTTCGCGTCTGCGCTTGGAGCTCTTCGCTGCTCCGTTGCTGGGAATCAAGTCGCGGGGCGTTCTCCGGGTTCCGCTTTTACTCCGGACTAAGCGCGTGGTTGGGGGGCCGCAGGGCGGAGGGGCGGGGACATCCACCCCACTTTCTCGAGTTTAGACCTAAGCGAGGGACCGCCGCGCATCGGCAGCTCTCGGCTTGTGCGCTTTGAAGAGTTCGCTGCTTTGGGCAAATAGCCGGGTTCCCTTTCCAGGCGTTGGCTTCGAAGGGGGACCCGTGTCGCGGTCCGGTAAGCGGCGTGGAAAGATCGTAGGAACTTCAGGGCTAACTAGCAGGTGGCCCAAAGCGCGGCCGGAAGCGAGCAAGTGCCTCCCCGACCAGATCTTGGGGCTCGGAAGTCTCCTCTCCGTCCCCTCTCCACGCGCGGGCTGTTGCGCGCGTGCGAGACCGAGCGCTTTGGGGAGAGTTGCGGCGAGGTCTAGTTTGGGCAGCCACAGTTTTTTACGCAATCCTGGACAAGCTGTGCGGGGGACTGCGAAGAAACGAGCATATGTTGACAATAGAGAAGATATCGTAAGCATATGCTGCGTCCTGTAGAGTAGGTGGAAGTTGCGAGCGATTTGCGTTTGACAGTCGGTTTGATTTTAGAGTTTTGGTCGCTGCTTCCCAAACAGCTTGAGCCTGTATGCGTAGCTATTGGGAACAAATACTGTAGTTTCTCCGCCTGGCTGCATTTCTAACACTTCGGGAGTATCTCACTGCAGGCAGTGGAATGCTGCTGAGTAAACATGCAGAGGCTTGTGTTTTATGTGGTAGTAACTGGTTTTTAGCTGAGTTGCCTTGCTGCTGTTGGAGAGAACAAACCCATATTCTTTTGTCTGGCAGGAATACAGAAGGCTGCTTCTTGTTGCAATTCTAGAGTACGATTTTAATTTCTGTTTAACGTGTACAAGACTCCTGAAGCAGTTAAAGCAGCTGCCAATTAACTTATTTTGGTTACTTTGCAGTTTGCAGTCAGGAAAAAAATGTAATCTTTAAAGCATGCCGATGCAAATATGAAGAGAAGCAAGAAATGTAACCTCTGAATGTCAATATTCTGCTTGGGAGAGTAAGCAAGACTGACTTTTTACTTCCTCTCTGAAAGAAAAAAATCCTTCTGGAGAAACTGATCATTACAGTACGCAGAAGAGGAAATATTTGGGAAGATGGGGATCCTTGTTTTCCTCCTGATCTGGAGTTTAATCTTAAATTTGACTCATGAACACAGTTTATTCACATGCGAACCTATTATTATCCCAAGATGTGCTGGAATGACTTACAATATGACATTTTTTCCTAATATGATGGGTCATTATGACCAGGACACTGCAGCTTCCCACTTGAAGGTGAGTTTTGTCCTTCTATGTATTTATAAGCAGTTTTTTTTGTAATGCAGATACCTTTGGTAGTACAAAGATGTACGATTATTATTTTAGGAACCTTGATTACTGATAATTCAAGAAACACTTTACAGCATCCATTATCTGTGTGTCAAGCACTTAATGCAGTGAAGGCAGATGGGGACTTTCCCTATAACTCTTCCTTTTCAGTCTGCTTTTAAATGTATTTTCTGATATTGTCTATATCAGTGTTTCTCAACCTTGGGAACTTTAAGATGTGTGGACTTCAGCTCCCAGAATTCTCCAGCCAGCCATGCTGGCTGGGGAA